CTTGCTTGCAAATGGAGACTAATTGCGTTTTGCCTTAATTCTAGGCTTCGTCTCTTCCTGTCGCTTAGATAACTTTTTTATCTCTCGAAATGGATACTTATGTATGCAAATACTATTCTATAGTTGTGTTATTTGGAAAAGCTTCGCCAAAAAAATAAAAAGCCACTCTACGGCCTCATACCAGTTTAAAAATGCCAAAGTTTTTGTGCAGGTATATTTCAATGAATATATACTACAAGTAGTGTGTTGCCGAACTAAGCATAGTCACTAAACCCATTTCATCAGCAAAATTGAGTTTAGCTTCGCCATAAAATGCTCTTGATTCAGTGGCTAAGTATTGGCAATCAGAATACTACCCTATCATTTTCTCTGTTTTGGTTGGGCAATGATTAACAAAATAAATATAAAATTAACTTTACTGGCTAAAGCAATGCCTGAAAGGCTCGAATAATATTGATAGGCAGCAACCCCTAGCATTAATTCTGACTTAAAATTCGTTATCCCCAACCTTGGACTTTATTTTAGTATTCGCACATCCTATTATTTGCTAGGCTTAGATTGGCTCTATGGCACCACAATCGATCGTTGCGCTGTGCCGGTCTTCGCTGCATTATCTTCTATCTGCATTGTGTACAAGACGTCAACCTGCTTCTTGCCTCCCGTTTGGACATTCTGATTGCACGGTACAGATTTCTTTTATATTCTGACGTTTTACTTATTCTTCTTTTGCTAATGATTTTACGCCTTGGGCCTCTATCCCGTCTCACTTTTGCCTGTATCAATGGGAAGCTCTTCTCATCTCTCCAGGTTGTTTTCACTTTTCACCATCCTGTTTGGCTTCTTCATCAAGCCTGAGGATAGCACTCACTGGCCTTATAAGTCATCGGAGCTAATCACTCAGAATTCAGTCGCCAAGATTAGTTCGTTGGTTTTTCTATGGGATACCTCTCTCGATTCGGTTCTATTATGTTAGCCAGGCATGGAATTGGCCCCAATTTTTTTTCCTCTTTTCTCTCAGATCTGTATTAAGGTGAATGGAGCCAACAGGTCATCTTACATTGATATTACACCAGATCTGCTTTACGCCCTTTTTGGTTTTAGCTGTGTTGTAGCTGAGCTAACGCCTACACCATTTCGCCAGGGGCTTCTATAAAGAAAGCCCTCTTAACCTGTATTGAATCCCAATCATATGCTTCTATGTGTCGAATGATATAGCTTGTACAGACACAGACATAGACTCCTCTGTTCGCACCAGGCTTCACAAGAGGTGATCACCTCTAAAGTGATCCTTTACCTCATGACTTGGCGGCATTTTTAAGGCCTCCGTTTGGCCGTGCCTACGATTTTGGTATATTTCAACTGGAGTGTCCATTTGTGAGAAAGAGTATGCCGGCGACTCACTGTTGCAGCGTATTTTCGATCTACCGATTCACATTGTGTGATAGTTGAGAATACAGATCGTATCGACCTATTAACCCGTACTACGATCTCTTGGCTGGTTTGGCTCACGTTTCATTTGAAGTGGAGGCGATCAGAATCTGAGGAATTCAGACCAACTGGCCTCTTAGCCATTAACTCACTTCAGATTGGCAGAGCATAACCAGATGATAGCTTCGATGAATTGTATTATTCGCTCATTTGCATTACGAGCCACTTTTTGCGAAGGACAAAACCACAGTCAATGGATGGCCTCTTGAGCATGAGCTTACTCGCCTCGGCGCCATGTATATTCAGGCTCCGAATTCCCCTTGAAGAGGAGTTATTTGCATTCAATCTGTTTCTCCTCATTTCTCATAGCAAGTTTACCCTTCGGAACGTAACCAAACTCCTTTGCCTCATTCTAACGGTTAGGCGTCTACAATGAAACGGAAGAATTGTACACTTTTGCATTTGACTTAGTGTTAACTTGTAGGGTTATCATTCTTCGTCAATCTGCTTGATGCCCTTTATCCATCATTGCTCAGCGTTTTTTCCATTTCTAGTTGCATTATTTATCGTCTGGTCTGGCAGGCTCCGGCAGCATCGGAGATCAGAAAAGAAATGTTCTTCATGTATTGTGATCCGACGAAAGTATGCTCACGGCTTTCATCTCGCCGGAGGCATTGATGAGACAAGAGCCATGTCTAAAGTGCCGGCCACTTTCGAGATTAACAATCAACAGAATGCTTTCCTTACAAAAAAGAGGCGATAAGCAAAAGTTTGTCGTCTCAACTGGGCTCTTTTTTGTTCTCTTCGGGACACTCACTCAATGCAATTTAGATGTGCTATTTCAATTGCTCCCCCGGCCACCTGCCATTGCATCGTATAGATGCGAATTTGATGGATCTCTAGGGTTAATAATATTATTTGGTTTACAATAAATCTCTTGTTCCAAAATTGTTCAGTTTACTTCCATTTTGAGTGAAATTGTTTGGTTAAGGGATTCCAAGATCAAGCCCACCAGAAGACGATGGCAGATTCCTCTTGGCCAGTTGTCGATAGGCCTTACTGGAGCATTCTTGTTGATGCTGTTTCCGAGGCAATCTCCTTTGATTCCGGTGAAAACATGTGAAGCTTTCGTTCGGCATTATGAGATGGACATCAGCAGAGCAGACAGACTGGACCCTTTACAACCACATTCAAGCTAATGAATCAAGAAAATTCACCTGCTCATTCCTAAATACTGGTGGTATACTCTATCTTTAAGTTATTTGATGAGGTATAAAGTGATTTGGTTGATTCATGTCATATGTCAGTCTCGAAGCATGTGAGTGTGCCTGTCTGTGTATTTATTAGTATTCATGTGTTCGTATATGAACGAAACGAGCAGGGATGGCTCAAAGTAATTAGGAGAGAAAAACTCGTTAGTTTGCATTTTGTTGTGACGATGATATCTTGTTCTGATGATGTTCGTCAAATGACGGACGAAAGCTTAGCACCCTTTCATCGGAATCGAAGTAGATTACCTCGGAAACAGTGTCAGCATGAATCTTCGAGTAAAGCCAATCGACAGCTGGTCAAGAGGAATTCGCCGTCGTCTTCCAGTGGAACTGACCTTCGAATCTCTTCACACAACACTTTCACTCGAAATGGAAGTAAGTTCAACAATTATGAAACAACAGATTTCTCGAAACCCAACTTTTCTTCGCATAGAAAAACTCACGTCTGTTCTCGGCCATCATCTCCTTTCTCTATATTTTAACCATACTTTCTATCGTACAAGATCGGACACGCGTCTGGTTAAGTTTATGAACTCTTTTTTATGCGAGAGAGAAATAATGGACAATAAAGTAGAGAAAAGTGACCGTTATTAGAACCAGGACAGGAAATTTTAGTTGAGTTGCCTGCTTTTGCAGGCGGCTCAAAACCCTCTAACCTTGAGTCTACTAATTAAGCATAAGTAGTTCTTACTTAACCTCTTGCCGATATCCCTTACGTTCAACGAAATGTCTATTCAGTTGGTTTTAATGGTCTATAATGTTACGTTTATTCACAGACATAGTAAAATCAGCAAAACAACAAGTTTGAGACCATTCTATCGAGTGTCCATTTTGTGCTTTATGCTCAGCAAGCTCTGATTATTGAATCCAACTGCCGCTGCAGATTATTTTATGCTCTGCCATCTTTGGTCGAATGGGACGACAGGTCTCTTCAATATAAAAGCGACCACATGGACATATTATATTATAGCAACTTGATCTGGATAATAGGTCAACTTTCACTCAAAAAGCTCAAAAATTATGAAACAAAATATTCAACTAAACTCAACTTTTCTTTGCATATACTACGTACATATGGTACAGATTATTATCAACTTTATTCTTGCCATACGAAAACAAGGATACCTATATCCCTGCAAGCCAATACTCATAGATTAAAAAAATATATATTTCACATAATTTAGTACCTATATGTTATTTTCTTGGTAGACGTCCTGGTTTGCCTATTTCAACAAATAAATAACTAGAACAGACATCAAGTGGTTTGGTTACAACTAGACTAAAATAAAGTATAGACAAATTACATGGCCCGATTAGAACCAAAACAAGGTCTTGACACTCCATTTCTCTCCTGTTTTCTCAAGAAGACTTTTCGAATAACACAATATGACGGACGGTCTAGCGGAAAGGGTGGATAAGATTCAGAGATGCCGACATGGTACAAAATTAAGGAATTAAGGTATTAAAATTTACTCAATAAGGATGTAGGCAAACTAGATGCTATTTGTTCTTGCAAAAATAAAGTCATTAATTTATCCAGTATAGCCATAGCTGATAGTGTTTATCTCCTCTTGTAAAGGACTCTAAACTTTGCCCATGGAGACACTGGCTGAATTAATTATCTTGCCGAACAAGCTGCCAGAGGAGGCTAAAAAAAGAAGTGATTCCTCCTTTTGACCAGATAATTATTCCAAATAACTCTTATGACTTGTATAAGATTTCTAATTATTCGCACAAAAATGACCTGTTTCTTTTGAAGGCAGATAAAGTTGATGCAGTGACCATCATGGCAATGTAAAGTTATATTGAATAAATTATGGTTCATCGACATTAGTCAGAAACATGCAAACATTT